CTTACATGCAACTGCATCTCAACATCAACCAAAAGATAATTTTATTGAGGAAGTGAGAACACATAACGTATCAACTGAAGTCTGTTTGAAATTAATGAAATTCAAGTAAAGGTTACTATAGTTTACCCCAGTCGTAATTTGCTATTCCAACACCTCACGACAAGCAATCCCCATTTGTATAACGGCAAAAACATGTCTTCCTTGATCAATTTTCAAATTTTAAGCTTATCGACAGCCTTTGTCTATGCGTTTGTGATGAATCACTGTTCCCTTGGGCCTGCACGCGGGCTATGTCAATTAATTACCGATCGCCTCAGCTAGCCAATGGGAATTTAGCCGGCGGTTCGGCCGGCGAAAATCGAAAATATGTGGTGATGGTTGCAGGCTGTCCCTCACCCTCAGACAGCCTGTACGCAGGCTAATGAATGTATTGAATGCCGCATAGCGCTATCCACCGGGGATAGTGATTTTCCAAGCTTTCTTAAATTCAACGTTGATTTATGTAAACCCAGATAAAACTATAATATTTATAAATTAAAGTTTTCTTTGTAATGTTTACAACATGAGCGGCCGCGAATGTTGTAAACAACTTAAAAAACGACTCAGCTTATGAGTTCATTGGCAAAGTTAAAGTTTATGTAAATCAACATGAATCTGTATCACATATACAGATACGACACGCTTATGATTTTTCTTTGTGTTTTCTTCATGAATTATTAATGAGTTTTTTAATATTAATTGTGAGGTTCATGCAGGGGTGGCAAAAATAGGCGAGCACGCGAGCACTACTCGCACGAAATGTTAAACAGCTGCAGGAAATTCGTTTGAATCATGATGATTTGCTATTGAAAATTTGAAAGAAACCTTGGCTACAAGAAAGCTATACAAAGTTTTGTTTAATAGTGTGTGTAATAAAGCTATTTCTAATGAATAAAATCAATAAAGCGTGTAAATACTGTTCTGTTTAATCAGTTTACAACTAATATTTTCGTTGTTTGGTCATTTTTGTTTTGTTGTGGTAAGTCAACATTAGTAATAGTCAACTTGTGCTCCAACTCTAATAAATATCATAAAGGTAATAAACGCCCGTCTATTAAAGAGGAGGCTTTTATATATTGAATTTATGCAAGGCTATAAATTTGGCTTGATGGAGTAATATGTTCAAGAAGTCTTGCTATAGTCTATGGCTGACTGACCTGAAAGAGGTTCGCCTGTTCCCCTGTTATCTAGAGGTCCACCTGTCCTCTAGTTTTTGCATCAGTGCTCTGTCAGGCCTTGAGTATACCCTTACTGTCTCAACCAATGGTGGTGCACATGCACAGAGCTCCCTCTGCAATCTAGAAATCTAGAGGTCTGTCTGTTCCTCTAGAGAGAACTTATGTTAGCGAGAGCCTTTAGACAGTTTCGAGCACTTCCTTGCTCAAATTATGTGCCACAAAATGTGCCTCATTGTATCTGTATGTATTGGTTGTCTTGCTAAGTCGCCAGTTGTCTAAACTACTTTAGGCAAACCTAACATGATATTAAACTATACGTAGACAAGCGTCAGCGGCGTTTATTAGAGTCTACTGTTTGCCAGTATTTGCTACGTGGCGTTTGTAGTGAGTGGGCGTTTGTATTTTCGATTCATTTTCTTGGAAGTAATTTCCATATTTTGAAATAAGATATTCTTGTCAACATAATGTAACCAATTGCAAGGCAGTATTTATATCACCTTTTGTCACAGGACAATGACATTGCTTGAGTATTCTATTTCATGCAAGCAAATTCCTGTCTGGAAAAGACGCTTTAAATAATTAAATCCTTCATACGGAAGCGACATTTGTCTGTCGCTCTAAACAGATCACTTTGGTAAATATTTCAATGTCTATGTATTGACGTTTATACTACAAAGCGAATAAAATCAACACAGAACTTGGCAACTTGCTTTATTATAACCAAACAAGAATCTCGACAAGAACGGTGTGAAATATGGCGGCTTATACACAAGGTTATGACGAGGCGAGGTTTGCGATCACAGTCAATCAAAATTTCCTGTGTTTGATTTGCTTCAACGTTTTGAAAGAACCAGTCATGTGTTCTAAAAACCAGCACTGTTTTTGCCGTGCTTGTATTACGAAACATCTCAAGAACTCCCAAAGATGCCCTACGTGTGCGGACGAACTGACCGTAGAGACTTTGGCCGAACCACAAAGAATGGTAAAAGATTATCTAAATGAATTACCTATTCATTGCGTTCACATCAACAGAGGTTGTCAAGAAATTGTACAACTACAGAATCTTGACCGCCACGAGGCTACATGTGGATTTACACCAGCCGTGTGTACAAACCAAGGCTGTGGTGCAACTGTAAACAAGCGCGATCTTATTCACCATGAAAGTGAACAATGCGAATTCCGAAAGTTGAAATGTCACTCTTGTGGAGAAATGGCGAAAACGTTGGCGAATGTGGAGAAGAGAGTCGCGCATTTGGAAACGAATATGGTATCCATAGAAACCAAAATGGGTAACCTAGAGACCAACATAAAAACAGATATTGAAGAAAAACTCGGGGCAGTCAATAATGACGTAAGAGGTTTGAAAACAGCTTTGATTGAAGGATTTGATCAAATGAAGGATGTTCTTGTCAAGATGGAGGACACAATCAAAGAAAACACAAGAAAAGTAAGAAATGCGGCAAGTGGTGATAAGGAAAATATATTTGTTGCTGGAGGTTTTGAAACTGATTCCGTAGAGATATTTAACTGGTCACAAAAGTCGTGGGCTCCATTGCATGAATCCATGCCAGAGAAACGTTGGGGAGCGACCTCATTTCTTTACAACAATCACATGATGATCGCTGGAGGGTACTGTCGTGGGCCTGGCTATGTCGATAATATGATTAGAATGAACGTTGACCCAAACCCTGATCTCTCAACACACTGGAGTGACTGTCCTGTGAAACTACCTATGAAGTTGGCATACCACAGCAATGTGCTGTATAACAATCAATTGATGGTTACTGGGGGTTGCATTGAAAGTCTGGACCAAACATCTGATGGTATTCACGAAGTCCAGCTTGTTCCCCCCTACACTGTGAAGACGTTATCAAGAATGCCAGAACCAAGACAAGGTCACTGCACGGAGATATGTGCTGATAATTTGTTGATCATTGGTGGACGTACAACTAAACGATCGCAGGATTGCCTCAGTAGTGTCGTTCTCTACGATATAAAGAAGAATGAATATAAACAGTTGGCACCACTGCCGTATGAAGTGAATTACATGGCAACTGTGAGATGGGGAGACAACATTGTTGTGATAGGCGGCATGGACAAAGATGGCAATGTATTAGATACAGTTATCATGTACAATGTCAAGAGTGAACAAAGTCACATGTTGCCGCCAATGAGATGTAAGAGATGGGGATGTACTGCTGTTGTTATTGGTAACAACATTGTAGTACTGGGAGGAAAGGATGAGCAGAGACGTCAGCTAAAGTCTGTTGAAGCTTTCAACTTTGAAAGTTATCACTGGGAAGAACTTCCTGAAATGTCTAAAGAAGGATGGCTGCACACTGCTGTTGCTGTGTGAACAATGTATAAATTGAAACACAATTCGTGAATCAATGAAATTTTAATCTTATTTTAAACGACAATACAGTAAAGTACAATACTAGGGGAAGATATAGTAATATTTAGGTTAAAATCTGTAAACAATAAAATAACTTTTAAAAAAGTCGACTTACTTTAGCATTTAGTGTGATCACATGCCCACGGGAAATCAGTCTTAGTCCGGGAAACAATAAAGCGAAGGAAAATAGAGGGATTGCTCGCAGTCTAACGGGAAATATGTTAATTTGCTTTATAAGACACGTTTCACACCGGCGTGTTTTCACAAAAAAAGTCAAAACTTTAGCAAAATATTTACAGTGATATTTGTCCGTTATATTTTTGTGTGCATTTGTTATTTTCATACACATGAGAGGATCCAGAGACCCAGTTAGGCTGTGGTCGAGTATAGGAATATTTTTAACAATTTTAAACGGAGTTTAAAGTTATTACCATGGAGAATGTGGTGATCCGACATTTATACATCCATTATTTACATGCGTCATCTGTTATATATTACTTAAAGCTTGAAATGGAATTATGTTGTCAGTTTTGAATTGTATATATAATATTTGATAATTTATAGATTTTATATAATTTGTAGATTTTATACTGATATACACCATTGCTGAAGTTTTGTGAATTATTGAAATAACCGCCAGGGTTTAGCTGTACAATTTATTATTGATTTGCGATGTTGTAAGCGACAATTTCCAACGACGATTCGTAACGCAACGTGTTGCCCAACCAATCAAATTTCGTGTGACGTCATTTGTAGAGTCCTTTACAACCAACTCATCTGTAATACAGTAATAGCTTGTTGTAATAACATTGATATTGTAATGTTTTTAAATATACTGGAACAAAACCAATTCAACGTCCTGAAATGAGAGCATAGTACAAAACATGGACTGGACCCATGGACTGGACCCAAAATTGGACCCAAAATTGGACTCAAAATTTTAAGCAAAATTTTGCCCAAAAATCCATTATTTTATCGGAGAGAAACAACCCTCAGAATATCGTGCTATGATTTAATTTGTATAGGCAAAAAACTTCACGTTCCATCACTTTTCCTTGACCTATCTAGCTATTTGTCTTCCATCTCGTAAATAATAAACCTTTGTGAAATATCTTTGCGCAATGGTCACAAATACATCACATCGATATAAATCATCCATCAATATACACATCAATATATAGTTATTTTAATTATATACATTTTGTGTCTGTATAATACGCCCTCTATATATTCCGGCATATATATCCTCTAATGAGTAACGAGTTCGCAAAGTTTGTTTTGTCCATATATTCTAATATTTATTGCAACTAGCTATATGTGGGCTTATCATTATGCACATAACAAATCCTATCTCTGATGATGGTTCTGAAATAGAATTGAAACACTGCGCGTCCTCTAAGACAAGCGTTAAGTCGTCACGAAAATATTTCGTGCACTTGGATAAGACTCGCTACCATTACCGATCCCTGTTGACTCGATAGCTCAATAGGTAGAGCGGCGGTCTAGATACTCGAAGATGCGAGTTCAAATCCCGCTCGAGCCAACGAATTTTTCGTTGGTCGATTGCAGTGCCAGATTAAATATGAAACTAGTTTTTCGTATCTCTGAGGATGGTTCTGAAATACACTATGTGCATAAGGCCAAATAAAAAAAAATACTTGGTTAGCGTCACCGCCCGCCTCTCGATTTTCTGCCGCCTCTGAATTTTTTTTTTTTTTTTATGTAAATCTCTTCGTTTTACAGCTTAAAACAGTTTAATATTTCAAATTTTTCTCATGCTCAGACCTTCGCGCTATATACTGATCGATAGGAGCGCGTAGGCTTGGGTATACAAGGTTCTTAAAGCAAAATGGCGGCCTTCGCAACATCAGTACAAAAAATATCACCGATATGGTGGAAAAACCGCCCCCATCCCCTCCAAAAATACTATTACAAAATTAAAAAACGAGTAAAAATTAAAAAAAAAATCCGCCCGCCCGCCTCTGAAAATTTGTGAGAGTGTGACGCTAACCAAGTATTTTTTTTTATTTGGCCTAATGATAAGCCCACATATAGCTAGTTGCAATAAATATTAGAATATATGGACAAAACAAACTTTGCGAACTCGTTACTTGTTAGCTAGGATATATATGCCGGAATATATAGAGGGCGTATTATAAGACACAAAATGTATATAATTAAAATAACTATATATTGATGTGTATATTGATGGAATGATTTATATCGATGTGATGTATTTGTGACCATTGCGCAAAGATATTTCACAAAGGTTTATTATTTACGAGATACCCTAGATAACGTTTAGAAAATAGAATATAGAATTTTGGAAGACAAATAGCTAGATAGGTCAAGGAAAAGTGATGGAACGTGAAGTTTTTTGCCTATACAAATTAAATCAATTAAGTACGATATTCTGAGGGTTGTTTCTCTCCGAAAAAATAATGGATTTTTGGGCAAAATTTTGGCTAAAATTTTGAGTCCAATTTTAAGTCCAATTTTGAGTCCAATTTTGGGTCCAATTTTGAGTCCAATTTTGGGTCCAGTCCATGGGTCCAGTCATGTTTTGTACTATGCCGACTATATTGGACTTGTTGGAACACTTGAAACAAGTGATAGTGTTAACAAAGTCAAGGTTGTTGACAACCTGAGACAAGCAGACTTGCTACAAGATGCGAGATTTTTGCGTATGTAGAGGGCTCTCGGAATTAAATTGCATATATCTGACAGTAAATGTAATGTAGCATGTGTAATTTATACAATGGGTTAATTTAATCACACAATTACACAGTTAATCAATTTACTCTGTCCGGAAAAACAAGACAAGCTTTTGCTCATTTCTCATCGAATTTTCATCCAAATTTAACCATATCAAACATATTAACACGTTTAGTACTTTTACTCGAACATATATGACTATATATAAACAATGCATTGCGTGTTTCAAATACTTGACACTTGTGTTACATTTTCTGTTGAGGTACTGTTTACAAGGAAATCTGTGCAGAAAGACCCCTCTCTTGGCGTAACATTCCTCGATAATTCCAGAAAGCGAACAGCTCACTTTTTTCAGTCGAAATATTTGGGAAACTAAGCAAGATATAAACAATCTGTAATAGAGTTTAATATATAGTTTTAAGAGTTCTTTCAAACGAACTAAACTAATTTTTAAGGTTACAGGACACCCTTTTGGCGTTTTGCGGAAAATCGCTACTGCGCGCTCAATATCAGTCCGATTTTCATCAAATTTTCACCAAATGTTCTCCAGTGCATGCAAAATATGATAAAGTTGTAAAATTAACAAACAATAAAATAATGTAGGAATTATTCAGGTAAATCTTAAGTCGCGGTACCTTTACGCTTTTGAGTTATGCTCCTGCTGGTTTTAAGATATATTTATGAAAATATCATTTTTATACAGTAAAATAGTTGTTCTAAAAAATTGTGTTCGGAAATTTTTGTTTATTTCGTCAATCCGCTGATATGGCGATTTCTTTGACGACTGCAATATATTTCTGAATTGTTCGAGTGAATTGCTCTTTATTTTTAAAATATCCAAAATTTAAAAAAAGCCGAACACAATTTTGAAGCTGACGTATTTAGCTAAGTCCTGTGAAAATTTGAAAAAAAATGGTTAAAACCCGCAGGAGCACAACTCATTTGAAAATCAGTAATTAACGTAAAATTTTTCGGGAGAAAATTGAATTTGAATATTACATTTTCAATGTTTTTCTTATTGCAGCGAAATGTATTTTATTAAATAACTCTGCGAGTTTTCAACATTTTTCGTTCAAACTTGGTGAGATAGTAGAACTAGTCTAATGCCTTCATCGAAACCAATAAAAAATTTTTAGGCAAAATTAACACTCAAAGGTGTTCTGTAACCTTAATTGTCAATGTTGTTTAACGTTTCCATGGGAAAAAAATCATGGTATTTTCCGCAATTTTTTGTGCTCTCAAGTACACTACCAAGTGTGGGAAAACAGTTCAAAACAGCACTGGCAGGACAGTATATAAAGAAAGTGGATAAACTGCCCTCATCTATATTCTGCTAAACGTGTAACCTACAACAAAGATCGAGAATTTGGTGCTGAATTAATTCTAGTATTTAAAGGAAGGTATGAGACTTATCTTTATTTTACAGTAAATGTAATTCGGTTTGGTTTAGAACTGATATAGAGTTACCTAGTTTGGCGTAGGTTTCCTCCTGTGGTAATACTCGATCAATAAGAGATGATCCTTATATATACTGGACCTCTAGGAAGAACAGTTTAGAACTGTTAAAGCTATATCGAGTACCATGCAATAAAGTTAGTTTAGTTTAGGTTTCCTCTTGTAGTGACACTGGATCAATACGAGATCCTTACTGAACTTCTAGGAATCTTTAGAATTAATAGAGCTATCCAGTATCAATAAAGTTAGTTTAGTTTAGGTTTCCTCCTGTAGTGACACTGGATCAATAGAGATGATGCTTACTGAATCTCTAGGAATCTTTCGAATTAATAGAGCTATCCAGTATAAATAAAGTTAGTTTAGTTTAGGTTTCCTCCTGTAGTAACACTGGATGAATGATCCAAACTGGACCTCTAAGTTTAGAACTGATATATCAGACAGATATATCCAGTGTAAGAGAATTATAATCATATAAAGTTTCCTCTTTTAATGAAACAAAAAGTGACTCTTACATCTCTTGAGAAGACGGACCAGCTGTCCACTATAAAATTTCCGGACTAAAGATACTTAATTTACATGTCCTTTACAGAGATTTGTGAGAACAATTAAAGATGGTCTGTTCGTGGAATAAGCTTGTTGGTGTTATCTTAATACTCTTCAACATGACATCTTTGAAATCATCAGAAATAACAACTTGTGATGAAAGACTACCTTATTTTCCAGTATATCATCCCAAGGTAGGAAAACATTTTATTCTCGAGGTTGGCGTTGCCTGCGCCAATCATTATACTTGGAAAAAAGACGGCAAGCCACTAACTCTTGAAACATGTCATAAACCCGATGACCCCTGCAACTGCACACAGCCCACCTTTACCACTCGAGCTGTCGGCAGAGCCGACTTACATTTCAATAAAATTACATTTGAAGATAGTGGTAAATATATCTTGGAATTGTTTTACCGTAACGGGATTAGAAGAGTAAATTCGTTTGAAAAAAATGTTCAAGATAAACCTCTTGTCTTAATCGATTGCAATGATATGACGGTATATGAAGGTGACAATATTACGTGTGTGTGTAAAACTACTCCTCAATACCCCAATGCTACCGTGAGATGGCTTCGGTATAAACAAGGCAATCCAGGAGGGAAAAATTTTACAGATATTCTAACACTGGAAAACATTTCAAGAAATGAAAGTGGAACATATACATGCTTCGTTAAAAGTCGGAATTTGGTAAACAAAACATCGTTTAACCTTACAGTTGTGCCTACAGCTACAACTAAAAGACTTAAAGTAAAATCTTTTAAAGTTTCTCAAGAATTTGGGGTTGGTTATAGCAAACTATTTGTCCTCTGCAAAGCAGAATTAAGCTTTCCAGAACCTAATTTCACGATTTCACGCAATGGAACAGCAGTAAAATATGGAAACAAGTACACTGTAGACATCAGAAAGATTTCCTGTCTGGGACAGTACGAATGTTTGGCAAAAAATGGAGGGAGTTCCGACAAGTGTTCCTTGAGGTTCAATGAAAGTTTCCGTGTTCAACAGAAAGATAAGCGCGAAGTAGGCTGGGAAATGATGTCAATTGCTGGAGCATGTTCATTCGTTGCTGGAATTCTATTCGTGTACATTTTGAATTGCTTGGGTAAAAAATGTACAACGAGGGATGATCGTAATGATAATTCAGAGCATGTCGACGTTTCTCCAGAGAGTCGCCAGCAGCGAAGTGGGAATGAAGAACTGGGTCCTAACGAGATGGAATTACGTCATACATCGCGCAGACCTGAGGACGAGGAAATACGTCATAGTGCGACATACGTTAACGTGATGCCTGTTAATGTTGAAAACATGCCAGATTATGTTAATTATGACGAAAACAGCTATCAGGATTTAAATGAATTGCGCGAAAGAGATGAAGACAGATACCAGTCTTTGAATGAAATAAATATATGAACTGCTATGACAACGGCAAACCCGAAAACATTCGACATTAGAAAAAAATAGTATTAAGAGAACATTGTTTCCTAGCCATGTTTCCCAAAGGTGGACAAACCAGGAAACATTGTTTCCTAGCCATGTTTCCCAAAGGTGAACAAACCAGGAAACATTATTTCCTAGCCATGTTTCCCAAAGGTGAACAAACCAGGAAACATTGTTTCCTAGCCATGTTTCCCTAAGGTGGACAAACCAGGAAACATTGTTTCCTAGTTTCCTTTTTATTTGCCAATTTACTTATCATTAATTTTGCTAGTACTATAGCTGAAATAATGTAGATAGACAGATAGATAGATAGATAGATAGATAGATAGATAGATAGATAGATAGATAGATAGCCTTTATTTTAACACGATAATGTTTAAAGCTGCAATGTACAAGAATATACTTATCGATTATTCCAATTGTTTGTTTAGTTTGATAATTTAAATGCAACAATCAAAATGATCTCCATTAGCAATATATCAGGGCGAATTATGGAACCAAACGCCTTTGGAGTGCTCGACAGGGCACACATTGTATCGAAATCACAAGTGTCTACAGCGTCTTTAAAATACGTCAGGAAATCGTCAAGACTGCAGTTTAGGTTTCCTTGACAACACGGTAGACCCACTGGTTTCTCATTGACCAAAATCTGAACCTAAAAGTTTATAAAATAAAGTTAGTTTAGGTTTCCTCCTGTAGTACCACTGGATCAATTCAATAAGAGATGATCCTTACTGGACCTCTAGGAAGAACAGTTTAGAACTGATAGAGCTATCCAACATAAATAAAGTTAGTTTAGTTTAGGTTTCCTCCTGCAGTAACATTGGATCAATAAGAGATGATCCTTACTGGACCTCTAGGAAGAACAGTTTAGAACTGATAGAGCTATCCAGTATAAATAAAGTTAGTTTAGTTTAGGTTTCCTCCTGTAGTAACACTAGATCAATAAAAGATGACCCTTACTGGACCTTTAGAAAGAACAGTTTAGAACTGATAGAGCTATCCAGTATAAATAAAGTTAGTTTAGTTTAGGTTTCCTCCTGTAGTAACACTGGATCAATACGAGATGATCCTTACTGGACCTCTAGAAAGAACAGTTTAGAACAGATAGAGCTATCCAGCAGGGGCGGATCTAGCTTAAAATGTGACCGTATCATATTCTTAGGTCTCGCATAACTAGGGGGGTCCGGGGGCATGCCTCCCCCGGAAATTTTTTGAAATTTGAACACCGGAAATGCCATTTCCTGCGTTCTGAGCCCATGATTCTGGCCTAAAATGTGGCCTTAACAAGGTCATATTTTAAACACAAAGCACAGGCGGCCCAATCTCGCAAGGGTCAGTATAGACTTTATATAGTATGAATGTATATTATATTAATGTATATTATAGTAAAAATATGTCGTAAAATATAAATTTTAAAATGAAATTGACTTGCCTATTTGATAGTGTGTGTTCTCCTTTTATTCCTCCTTTGTTGGACTAATATTTTCCAAGACTTTGTACTCGATGTTACTAGTATACATGAAACATGATAAAGGCTAACGATTCACGATCGTCGATACAACGGCACGGCACTTCGAATCGAAAATTTTCACGCTCAAATCGCTTTATTCTCCAAACAAATTCGCCAGCATGTACAACAAATGCCGTTCTTCGAAAATACAGAGGTATTTCGGCGAGATGTACAAGTTTTGGACCATATTTTAACAATGGAAATCAAAACCCATTTTATATTGAACTTACCCGGACCGAAAATTACTACGGCGAACGTCTGCGCAACCAGGCCTCCTTTACCGTTGGATTTACAGGGGGGAGGATGCCACTAATATATTCACGATAATATTTCGAATTAAAGTATCATATTCTACCATACTTTCCAACAAGAGCCGCTGTATATTACTTCTTCCTTAAATTTCTTCAATCTCCGTCGTTTAATTTTCTTTTCTTCGAGAACATCTCGAGTTTTATACAGTATCCGATCGAAGGAGTTTTATTTTGAATATCAAATTTCAAATAATGTAAACAGTCGCTAATGAGACCTAGTTGCGCAGTCGTTCGGCGTAGTAATTTTCGGCCTGGGCAAGTTCAATATAAAATTGGTTTTGATTTCCATTGTTAAAATATGGTCCAAAACTTGCACATCTCGCCGAAGTATCTCGGTCTTGAATCAATCCGCGACCTTCGAATTACTATATATATATATATATATATATATATATATATATATATATATATATATATATATATATATATATATATATATATATATAGGTATATTATTATACGTAATATAAGCTTCAATTTATGGTGAAATTCAACCACAAACGTTTCGCAAAACGTTTTAAAGTGTTCTTTATAAAACTATTAAAACTGCCTTTGATTATAAAATGCTTGATTTATCGATAAACTTTGAGTTTGCAATAAAATTATTTCAAATTCTCGCATGCAAATAACTTTGCTTTCTTTTTATCAATTTTAAAAAATTCAATATAATAAAAAAGGGAATCAATATTATAAAAGATACACTGGAATTATATGCTGTCTTGTTTAGTTGTTTCATATATATAAAGCGGCATTAGGGTCAAAAGTCATTTTTATAAACAAATGATACACAATGCGCACAAAGTAGTCGCATGATACCGTTTACGATGGCAGCACAACGTTCACGATGGCAGCACACCGTTCACGATAGCAGCACGCCGTTCACGATGGCAGCACACCGTTCGCAATGGCAGCACAACGTTCGCAATGGCAGCACAACGTTCACAATGGCGGCACACCGTTTACGATGGCAGCACAACGTTCACGATGGCAGCACACCGTTCACGATAGCAGCACGCCGTTCACGATGGCAGCACACCGTTCGCAATGGCAGCACAACGTTCGCAATGGCAGCACAACGTTCACAATGGCGGCACACCGTTGACGATGGCAGCACAACGTTCACGATGGCAGCACACCGTTCACGATGGTAGCACAACGTTCACAATGGCACCACAATGCTCCCAATGCCAGCACAACGTTCACGATGGCAGCACACCTTTCTCCTCCGATTCCGCAGAGACTTCTGTTGGCAATGATTACGATTAATATTAAATCAATACGGAATTTCCACTGGCTAGATAAAAAATAAGCGTAGCAAGCGGTATTCGCGGGCACGAGAGAATGGGAAGCTAGAAATACCGCCTGCCCAACAACTACACATTCTGAGTTCTCCGGCAGCTGGGTGCCGGAGCATTCTGATTGGTCAGAATGTTGATTTCGAATTTTTGATTGACAGGAGTATTACAAATTAGAATAAGTCATAGGCTGGGGAAAAATAGGGGGGGTGTGGGTCACAATTTTTGAGCACGGTTGAAGGGGTGGGTCATCGAAAGTTAATTGCAATCCTAAGGGTGGGCCATGCAAAAATATGCAGAAATTTTTTTAAGGGCATGTGTATTAAAATTCATATTATAAAATTATATAGCGAAATTTCCTGCTGCACAATAGTATTTGAATGCGTATTAAACTGTTATGCTCAAAAACAATGGACAATTCAATTAACATCATCACTTAGCGAATAAACTTTACATTGTCATTGGCGTGTTAATTCAATTAAAGCACCTTGCAATTCCATTCACAAATGTACACATTCACATTTTTTCTGAAATGTTGGTTTTCTATACTTAGCATGTGATTTATAAAAAAACGCACCATTAAAACAGTGTGTTGAAAACGTAGTTTTTTTCAAAATGTGTTCTCAGAAT